GCCTAGCCATGTATACGACGAACGCGTAACGCGCCCAAGGGAAGCTTTTGTAGTCCGAGAATTCCCCGTACCTATTCTTGGACGGAATCGTTTACACAGCGGTTTTGACTATTTTCGTATACCGTACAATCTTGAGCTTGGGGAGGAATTTTTTCTTCTTTTTTTGCGTACTATAAAAGTATACTGTCCGTCGTGCGGGCCACGAATGTTTTATTTACAAATCCACACTTTTAAGCTCCAAAGCCGCAACCGTTGACAATAGGAATGATGAATCTTAAAGGGAAGGAAATGATACTTAAAATAGAAAAACAAAAGCATTGTTGTCTTACGTCATGACAAATCACGATATTTATCTGCTTTGTTCATACATAACTCGAGAAGAATCCCGTTTCTCCGAAAAAGGAAATACGCAATAAAAATCGATGAGACAAATAATCGTTGTCCGTACAACCACTTTTATATCCTTCGCACTCTGTAGCAATTCGATCTATAAATTACAGTCAATTACATTCGCGTTTAATCGCCAGCTCGAAAAGTCGCTGCTATGTGTCCTTTTAACAAGGAGATTACAAACCGTAACGTATACACCAACTATATATATCGCGCGGCCAACTCTCGAGAGCGAGCGAGCCGCGTGTCAGCCTATGCGAGAGATTAAGATAATCAGTACAATAGATTTACGGGCGTGTGGGGGATTAACGGCGCGGCGTGCGTTGCGTGCGATCGGCCGATCGTGATTTATCGAAAACTTGAACTAATCAGCTCATCGGATTTAATTAACGAGTCGATACATCAATTATGCGCCTCTGGGGTCTGCTGTTGCTGCTGCAGCCACATTGATATATCCCAGTTTCCGATCGACTGTAATACGTTATGTACTCGTGGCTTATAAAACGATATGCATCATATGTGTGCATTATAAACGATCCATCCGGCTACAAAGAGTTGCCTTTTGCACTCATTTATTTATAAGAAAAGATACGAGTATAAGCACTGGCAAGGAAAAGGCAGCACGCGACAGCTCGATGACGGGACAAACTATGTAATTCGCTGTTTGTGCACACATACGTTATAATAATATATAAACATGGTTTTGTGCACACGCACTGCACATACATACACATTAAAAAAAAACGTGTGCACGCGCGCATGAAAAGCAATAATATAAACAGCCTGAAAAAAATACCTGTGCATCGAAGCGCCCTCGCGTGTGTATATGTATGTGCGCAAAGGCGCAAAGCTTCAGACTGCATCCATATGTATACACACACGCGTGTAGTGCGCTCTGGGTAAATATTGTGCCGAGAGAGGTAGGCGCGTGCATAATATTATATAGCCCTGGCGAGGAAGATGAATAAACTCGCTGCGGCTTTTAACATTTCGCGCGTTTTCTCTCTCATTCTTTTGGCATCTTTTTCTCTTACGCGGGCGCGCGCGCGCCCAGCAAACGAAAACGCGCGAGTATTATATAAAAGAGCGCGCGCATGTAAAGTGCAGCACGCGCCCGGCTTATGCATGTGTGTTTGTGTGTATGTCAAGGAATAGGCTCGCGAGCTGCGTGTCGCACGTGAGCAAAAGAGAGAAGAAAAAAAGAGTAGGGTAAATGCGCTAAAAGCCGTGGCTTTTGCTTTCGGATACATACACGTATAATATCGTGCGTGTGTGTGCAATGCAGCAGCAGCTTATGCGTGTGTACATGTATATTGTGTATAAATGCTCTCGCGGTCAATGCCCGACTTATGCTCGCGCCCCGTGCTCTCGGCTCGCGATATCGCTGTGTAAGTATGCGCCGAGCTGCTCTCGCCCGAGTATCTATGTTTTACACACAGACACACATTACTGTACATTACATACGTGGCGCACGCGATAAATAATAATATTTCGCGCAGCAGCAGCAGCAGCAGCACGAGAGAAATTAACAGAAACGGAGAAAGAAAGGGTCAAGTTTTTGGGCTACGAAGTGCCGAGAGAGAGAAAGAGGTAAGGATTTCTCGGCCCTCTGCACGAAATATGTATGGAGCCCGCGCGATCGCACGCCCACCTCGCCGTATATTACGTTAGCCGAGGAGGATTTCTTTAATTCGTGCCGCCGCGTGATGCGATCGTATACCCGATGCGGTACCGATAAAAATATACGTGCGCCTCTGCCGAGAGAGAGAGAGAGAGAGAGAGAGAGAGAGACAGACGAGCGAAAGGTTGTATTATATAAGGCGCACGTGTAATTTTATACAGCATCGTGCCTCGCGCGCGCGTGGATAATCGGCTAGATGTATCCGCAGCATTGGGCGCTTTATAACCGTTGATCCTCGTGCTCAGAGGCCTCATATACAAGATGAGCGATCTTCGGTTGCGGCGAATCGATAAGCTGCCGCTGCTGCTGCTGCTGCTGCTGCTGGAGTTCGAGCGAAGCGAAAAGTCACCGCGTGCTGCAAGCTCCGGATCTGGGTCAAACTATTTTATGCATTCGTGCGCGCGGCGCGGCGACGAGCTATCGGTAGTATCAACTAAGCTATATACCTATGTCGTACAAACACAAGCGACCACCGCGAGTTTTTGCATGTTTCAACGTCGTTCGCGATTCTCCTGCATGTGTGTATAAATACTGCGCGCTGGCCTCGATGCACAAACCGAGGGATTTGATCGACTTGATATACAAGTATTTTAATAATACGTGAACACGATTCCAACGAGTTTTATATGCTTATCGCTGCAATTCTAATGGCTAAATTTAGCTTTGGCGCGCGAAATTAACGCAAACGTGTGTAGAGTAGCGTCTGCGAAATTTCATTCATTCGGGTTGGCATACGTGTCGCCTATGTCGTGCGCATTTATTATGCATAAAAATACGCACCCGACTTCATTAAATTTACTCAATCGTCTACCTTTATAGACGATGAGCTTTTTTTCGCCTATGATGTCATCGCCGTCAAGTCGACGAAATTTCGCGCTACCGAACGCGAGCTCGTAAATTTTATTTTAACATAATAATACTTTTTTTTAAAGCAACGTCACTCGATTCGTACACGCACATAATATATGTATAAATAAAAATAAAAACTCGTCGACTCGTGTGCTCCAGCATCATGTGCGGTAGTTTATAATATATAGAGAGTCGGTAGCTGCTCTGCGCCGGGTTACGTTACGTTTCAAAAGCGCCCATGATGTCGAACGTGTATACGGGCGCGCGCGCTCACGAGTCACGTCTAGGCGTTGCTTTTTTTTCATGGCTACACACGATGACGACGACGGCGACGTCGAGGAGCGCAAATTCCTGAGTCGCTTTCTCTCGCGTCTACTGGTGCTATATATATAATACGTGTATACTATACGTGATACTAAACGCGCGCGCGGATTGTGTATAACTCCGCGGTGTGTATAGGCTCGCGCGTGCTTGCGATGAATGGCCATGCAAACCTCTCTCTCTCTCTCTCTCTCTCTCTCTCTCTCTCTCTCTCTCCTTTTGCTGCAACGCACATAACACACTCCCACGTGTAATTTGTGTACGCTTGTATGAATATAAGCGCCTTTGCTCATAATCTCGCGACGTTTTGAACGAGATGTGCAGTCGGGCGCGCGTCGCACACACAAAACACTCTCGGACGAGTGGAGATGCGCGCCAAGCGTTAACCGCGCGTCTATAGTTTTTCTTTTCATTTTATTTTTACTTTTTTTTTCAACGCACAGCTCGCTCGCTCGCTCGCATAAGTGCTTTAAACGAATGCCAATTGAAAGAAATGATGGGGCGAAGCTGCACACGAACGATGACGACGATCCCGAGACGACGAGCGACTCGACTGACACATAAAAGCGAGTCGAGATTTCAATAGGTCGACGAAATGTCGCGAGACTCGAGAAGTCGCCAGCAGTTAACAGCAGCAGCAGTAGGCAGCAGCTCGCACCCTATTAAAACCTTATGCGCGGCATGGAAATACACGAGTCCGTCGCCAATCAAAAGCCTCGTATTTCTTGGCCTTGATAAAAGTCTCCGGCTCTTTGCTCTTCATTCAGAAAGGATGATCAACTTAACGATCGTATTAAAAAAGAACGAGAGGGAGAACAGTCGAAGGACTCCATAGTAGGGTTTACTCGGTCAAATCGCTACCAGGCAGTATAACATTAAACATTGGATTCTTTACAAACACACATACACACACACTCTGCTCGTATAAACACTCACATACATACATTTCTCTCGCGCTCCTTGCTGCCAGCGTAGGCTAGAAAGTCCCACGCGCTCCTGGCGTCGAGGCCCTTCTGCAGAAAGAGAGAGAGAGAACGGGTCAAAGACCTTTTATGACCACTCGCTTGCTCGCTGACTCGCCACCACCATCCCCTCTCTGTCTCTCGGTACAACTCCTCGGCATCGCGCCGCACGTCCTGTAAGTCTCTCTCTCTATACATGTATGTACGTACGGCCCATACTTATACCGATCTCTCTCTCTCTCTCTACTCTTGTTCTTTACTCGCTCTCGCGTGTGTTGCACTTAGTTTTAGTTTCGATATTCCGCTGTATGGCACGGGGACTATTTGCCCGTACGACGACGACGACGACGACGACGACGATGATGATGATGACGATCCGATTGACGAAGACGATGATGATGCTCGCGATGCTGACGACGATGACGGTGAAGAACATCGAATATTTATGCGCATATACGCGAGCAAATCTTAATCATTGCTCGTCGTTATATGGAGAAATAACTTTTTTCTCCATTCACGTGTGTATGTACGAACGAACGAACTTGTCCATTCCGAGAATGGATCGAACGAGCTGCGGGATGCGGCTGTAGCCGTTCTTTTTTTCAACGATTTGCGGCGATCTTTCCAAACGAGCTTATACTCTAACTATTTCCTATCTATGCAAAAATAAATAAAGCGCACTATAGAGACTCGATTCGCCTTGATATCGAACGTGCACATATAATACCAGCTACATATATAAAATATGCAAGATATGTAATCGTACTAATATAACATTTACGCACATTGTGTTGCAGGCCTAACAAGTACCTGGAGAAATCTTCGATCAGTCGGACGTGTGCGGTCAGTGGCTTTTTCATAAGCATTCCAGTCTTTTTAACAGGTAAAGGATCTTTTCATCCAGTCGATGTTATAAGTTACAGCGCACACGTGCCCGCATCTCATATTCTCTCGACTCGATAGTAAATTGACTTTTCGGTAGCCGCAAGTTCGCGCGCACGGAACAATGTATGACGTAGCATATAAAGCATTGTGCCAAGTGTCGAGTGAGCCTTGAAACAATAAACGATGACGTACCATACCGAACCGGTCAATAAATGTATTGTACGTAATACGCTCGAGGGGGCAGAAATTACTCTCTTTTTTTTCGGCACCGGCAGTCGTATGCGTACTCGAAGGAAAGAATTCGCGCAACGATTATACACCGCGGCTACAACTGCTCTCGGCGAGTACTGCGAAAACAAAATTTTTATAAAGAGTCAAGTAAGTCTCGCACTGCGTACTTGCGCGTTGTGTGTTACATCGGAGCAGCAGCAGCAGCAGCAGCAGCAGCAGCAGGAACGGCGGCTCCCGGTGGTATTTCTTTCAAAAAATATACTTGCCGCGCGCGCTCGCGTATACGCATTTACAACCTCGAGATTCCCTCTCTTGAATCATTTTATACGGAATGCAGTTTCTCTGCCGGTTGCCGACGCGCCGCCGCGAGCTCATTATTTTTGTTTTAACCCGAGCACACACCGCGCCTAATTTGTATGTAATTTACAATGCGCGCCTGTATATGTACGTATATATGTATATGTAGCACTGCTATGAAGCAAGGGCAGAATTGCCGCACTGGACCTCATTTGACACTCGCGACGATTTCTCTGCGACGTGGCAATTGTCTTACTTACATGTTGTACCTGTTATAAATCGATGTTTGTTCTTATTTCCGCAGGTATGATTCTTTACACGTTCATACAGTTTCAATCGACACCGGCGATCGTTACTTCGACACTCATCGGTGCCGCCATCATATTCAGTGGCTGCGCCCTGGTACACACCGTTTTCGTTTGGCAAAAAGTAAGAGTTACACGTTTATTTTTATTATTATTATTAATTAACTCCGTGTTAAGTATACGACGAAGATTTCTTCTCTCTTTATCTTTCTTTATGGGGCAAGACAATATTTGCTCGCATTTAGGCGGAGAAATTCTTTCGCGCAGTAATTTAGGTCCTATTTTTCTGAACGTTAACTCATCCGATTATTGTTCATAGGAAAAGACGAATGCAATGAAGGCGATGCGTCGAGAACAGTACGAGGCAGCAGCTCAGCTTCAGCGTCAACAGACGTTGCAAAGTCAGCAGCAGCAGCAACAACAGCAACAACAGCAGCATCAGCAACAGCAACAGCAGCAGCATCACCAGCAAACGCAGCAGCAACAGCGTCCGCAAACGATACAGCAGCAGCCGAGATCGTTGACCGCGACGTACAACGGCGGAAACGGCGGCAATGGAGCGTCCACGCGAAACCTGAACGACTCGCACTTGGTCTCGGGCAGTGTGCTGAACGGCAGCCGCTTGACCGGACACCGACACGTGTCCATGTCGCCGCCGCCGCTGCTCATATCGACGCCCGGGCCCAACGGCCACCAGCTGCATCCGGTCCCGCTGAACTCGTCGATGAGGGGTGGTCCCGGCGGCAGGGTGAGCTCGCCGCCCGCGAGCCCGGGCGACCGGTCGCCCACTAGTCCAGCGCAACACAACAGATCGCGCGACGCGATCACGGGCAGCGTGAGTCCGCGGCTGCCGCAAGCCACCATCGATCTCAGCGACGTTGCCAACAATCCCGGCAGCCCGCACGAACTGTCGACCCTCGTTTAGCAATCCTAAATAAATAAATAATATATTATATGCATATTTGAGTATAAATATAAACGAATCTCATTATCGAAAAGAAGAAAAAATTTCGTACCCAATTGCACCGACAATCTCTATTAAGCTTTTATCATGTTTTATCGCGCAAAAGCTTTGCGAGCAAGCGAGCGATGATGATGAAGCGTATATTATTATATATATTTAAAATGTGAAGTGATTGAGTGTCCGAAAAAGAATGATTTAATATGTACATTATTATGTGACCCGCGTTGTTGTTCCGAAGATTATTTATTAGTAACGTAAGATTCTTGTATTGAATATTTATAAATATGTATTGCGAGGTTGCGAGCGAGCTAAGGTTTTAGCATACACTTGTCACTCTTATTTCTCATATGATACAATATTTATAGCACCGGATACCGTATCGTGTAACCGCCAATAAGACTGATTCAAAAATAATGAATTTCATTCGGATTATAATCTTGCGAATTCTTGCCGACAAATCGAATAAATAAATTTATTTTATCGTCCCGATTGACCGTGTATAACGCTCCGCTCGTTTGTTCGTTCGAGACAAAAAAAGCCTACTTGTATATAGTATATTACTGCCCTAGGCCGCGAAAAACAGAAAAGTCCCAGAGTACGTGTAATTAGTGGCCGAGGCGAAGCCGAGGCCGATAAACACGTGCTCTAGGGCTTTCTTTTTTCGCGGCATAGGCCTGTATACTATTTTTCATACATAGTGGCCAGAAAATAGCTCTTCTCGTTTTGCGCAGCGGCCGAGAAGTAGTCACTTTCTGGCCGCTGGTATGAAAATGTATAATGATCTGTTAAAAAATCCACCTATTTTATTAATTTTAACGATTGTGTAAATTTGATTTTTAAATTAAGAAAATTTAATGTTATTTATTCTTTGGAGTACTTAAACTCTCAAAGTTATTAAATTTTAATAAATTTATATAATATATATATATATATTTGTAAATAAGCATTTTATAGATTTATATACAATATCTTACATTATCCATTGCACATATTTAACAGTCTATTTTTTTATTTTTAAATGTGCCTAACAACGATCAGGAAAAGAAAAACAAATTTCAAATTTGTATAAATTATAAACATTTATTATGTCTGTCATTGCCTCCTTGTGTCAGTAGTTTAGTTTTTCATCAATAAAAAAATCATTTTCATAATTCACTTAATTTTAATTACAAACTGATTTGTATCAGAATCTTTTAATTCACAAAGTACAAAAGTGTTTTAACTTTATGTACAACAACATTCATAGATAATCAAATCACTGTGTATGTTCAAAGTAAAGACAAAGACACAAATAAAAACTTATTTCAATATTATAAAGCTTTTTCATGATTTCATAGACATTTCAGCAGTTCAACAATCCTACAATATTCACTTTTCATTTTCAACAATGTTAAAACTTCAAATTTGAGTGAAAATTAAAAAGTGTAATTGATCTTTATACATTGTCTTAACATAAAATATCAATTCTATGTAATCATTCAAATTTAGTATGTATATATGTACAAATATTTACTACCCAAGTGATAGTTGTGAAATTTTCTTTTCTTAAGAATATACCTTACATACAGATTATTCACAAATCACTTGGATTGCATTATAAAAATTCTTGCATCTGTAACTAAATATTGATTCAATACTAGTTGAATTGAATCGATTCAAATGTTAAGATCTAGCGTCATTGATTGTAGCTGGAACTCTCACTTGTAATCCATTCAATTCTTCACTCAAAATTATTTGGCATCCTAATCTAGATCTGAAACAGGTAATTAGCATTTGAATAATATGGCCATTGTGATAAGATAACTTAATCAACCAATAACATTTTCCACAAATAAACAAACTGATTAATTTTAAAATTGACAAAAAAGATATCAAATGTTTAAAAAAATATTTGATATCTGTTTATTATTTTAAAGAAAATGTTATATCATTGAAAACTTTCTTTTTCACTTACGTATCTGTCAGGTCATAAGCAAGGTCAAGCATATCCAGTTCTTCATCTGTAGGTTTTTCAGGCAATTTGTCATAATCTTCTTTAGAAAAAATTAAGTGACACGTACTGCAAGTTAAAGTACCTTCACAAGCTCCTAAAATTAAAAATTTTTCATATTATTTTATTTGAGTTGATAATTCAAATTCTAAGCAAAAAAAAGCTTACCAAATCCATCCAAGTCGATTTCGTTATTTACAATGACGTCTAGCAGACTATCTCCGACTTTGCCTTTGGCTTCGATTTTTTCTCCACTGGCTCTGATAAACGTCACGCTGACTCTGAATGAAAAAAAAATTTTTACACATGAGTGGAACCCATGACGAAACACCATTATGTTGCAAAAAAATAAAGAGAAATTCCATAAAATAAAAAAACTCACTCTTTATTCTGAGCCTGCGGATTGGTCGTAGACAGGAGTCTACCGAAAATCAAGGCCGATTGGTCACTCCTCGCTGCTTTCAAGGCAGATTTCGAAATCGTCTGGGGCACCATGGCTCTGGAAAAGGCCATCACTTTCTGTCTCAATGCCATTATTACGATGGAAAATTTTCCAATATTTCCTTATTGCAGGCCAATCAACTGGTGGGTACTGGCTGACACGATGTTCGCGTGGGTGCGTTTATCACAGCTCTCGGAGGCACGCAATCTTCATGAAAAACGTCGTGCACTTGACACAATCGAATGGCACTGGCAGCTGGTTGCAATCGGCGTGTAGGTACGCTCGCGGACACTGCTCGTCTCATACTGCTGGTCGCATATAACCTCATGTAACTGCTTCCTAGTGTGTGCGATTTTGGCCCCGCACTCGCGCGAATACGTAAGTGTGCGTAAACCTTGCGAAAGCGGAGAGATCACGTAACCTTAAATAACGAGAATCAGGTAGAGTGCGGAGCGAGGAGGCTCCGCTGCGTATACTTTCTCTTTTGGCATGCTAATCGTTTTTCCTCGTATGGTGGTGGCGTGAATCTAAAAATACTTGCAATCCTTTGTTATGCTCGTGGATGATTTCAGCAATGTAACTGTTCTATACCACAAATGTACCAAGTTTAATTAGCTACTGCGAGAGATATTCTCAAAAATCGATGATAAACTGGGCATTTGATTTTTCCCGCTTTCAATCGCAGATGTCGCTAAGGACGTATGACATTCTTGTATGCATTTTCTGCTGTCAAACGTCTGGCGTTTATATGTCCGCCCCATTATAATCACAGGTGTTATTATCAGGGCGTGCTTTGAAGGACTTCCTTCTTCATTGTGTAATCATAGTAAATATTGCAAATTATGACAATTACGTTCTGCTATGAAAACTGTTGTTTCGTCATAAACTTTTAACTGTACCGAGTTGGCAAGATAAATGAAATACACAAAACTAATTTGTTGGGTACAGTCTATAAAGTAGAAGTTCTGTGCTAATATTTAGATTAAGAGCTATAGGCTAATATTTTGGACTTTTGTCGATGTTGAAGAATTGAATATATTATTGTTGCATAAAAAAAGTCAGCGTTAGTTATGGATAAACTAACAGTGGTCTCAGGAACTTTATTTTTGGCAGCTGATATGTTTGCTCTAGTGGGTCTTGCTATGCCAGACTGGATTATTACTGATGTCGGAGGTAAATATTGAGATTCTTATTAAATTCATTTAATATGGCAATCATAAGTTTTACTTAATGGTTTAATTTAATTTGCTAATTCATATTTTTTTAGGGGAAACAAGATTAGGTTTATTATGGTCATGTATGACTTTATACAACAGACCTCAAATTTGTTACAAACCCGATTTAAAACCAGAATGGTGGATGGCTTTGATTTGTATAATAATTGGTTGTGCATTAATTACAACCACTGTTATACTTTTGATCAGTTCTCACTGGGATAGAAATGTAATACCTTACGCTCGATGGGTCGGATTTACTGCCAGTAAGTTGTTTTTGATTCAATTTTTTGAATTGAAAAAGTAAGCAGTAACTTAAATTTGTGTTTAATGTTTGCAGTGGTATTGTTTTGCCTGGCAGCTGTAATATTTCCCATGGGATTTAATATGGATGAAATAGGTGGACAACCTTATCAATTGCCTAATTCACACCAAGTTGGGATTTCTTACATATTATTTGTTTTAGCTCTCTGGATAACTGTAATTTCTGAGCTATTTGCTGGTAAAGTGTGTTTACCACAATTTTAGCATCTTCTGACAAATTTTTTTTTCTTTTCCCTATTGTTGAGTATTTTATGTATTCCTTACATATATAGGCGTGACATTCCAAGACTCGAAGAACTCTTGGAACGTTTCAGGCTATAATTTTATTTTAATTGTTGAGTTTATAAAATTTGTCAGAAACATCAGTATTTTCATATAAGTAGGTTTTAAGTTACATTCATTTTTTTAAAGTCATTCAAAACTGGGTTGAATTTTTCAACTACGCATAGTATTTTGAAATTTTCAAAATAAAAAAAAAATTGTAATTAGAAATGAAGACGAAACTGGAAAAACAAAAGATGGAATTGTTTTCAATTCTCTTTTATTTCTGTACTGTAATTAACTTGAAATTAAGAAAAATGAATGTCATTAATCGTTGTTTGTTTTCGGACGAAATAGATAAATCATTTCAAAATGTATATAAGGTAAAAGCAATATTTTTATCACTTATTTATAATATTTTCATAATTGAATAATTCCTTAAAATCAATCGAAGTAGATGAACTAGCAACTGCATTTAATTTAAAATCATAAAACGTCCAAATTTGCTCATTTATTTGTATCAAACTAATGAGCAAACACACTTTTTTATTGTACAAACAGTTTTTATATTAATGGTTGTGATATATCATTATTAATTATGCAGTAAGACTTTTGTAAATAAATTAAGAAATCGTTTGTAAAGATCTATCTAGAAAACTTAAAATAAATATAGATGAATCTTCCGGTGACTATATTACGTTCAAATGTAGAATTGTAGATATTGAGTGTATATGATAACTTAAGGTTAAATAAAATTTTAGGTTTAATGAAAGTAATTATTTTTATTTATTATTAACATAAAGAACCAGGAACAAAAGCTAATTGACCAACGGATTATCTAAAAAGGAGAGTGTAAAAATTTGTATAGAAACTAACTACTATTATTTTTCTCTTAAGTCAAATTTTACCTATAAATAACTAAAAAATTTTCTCCTTTTACGATAATAATTTTTTTCCTGCAATCAGTAAGTGTTCCCAGTTCTCTATACATCTTTATTTCACATACCAAATATTACTTACATCAAAATCATAACGATCGCATTATTTATATATTTATATATATAACGATATGAATATGATACATTTAAAAAGTGTAACATTCTTTCTACAATAATATATTTTTCGATTTTTTAACGCTTAATTCATTTTTTTTATAAGTTACTTATATATAAATCTCAAATTTAATTTAGACGATATAAAAATGCAAGGTATTTTATCTTTTAAACGAATTTGTAATATACTATTTATAATAATCCCCCCTGCTACCCCCTTGTTATTATTCTACCGCGTTTTGCTAATATTTGTTTGGCTGTTACCAATTGTATCACATCTCCTATAATACAATAAATATGGGACTCGAGGTGACTGTGGGTTTAGTACACTGAACTCTGAAACACCTTTCAGTGAACTGTCGTCATAACGGACCCAGCCGCCGTAGCCTACGTGAAAAGCGTCCGTGATATAATGGCCTTTAGTGGCTTCTTTGCCATCGTGATACGTGACAGCAAATAGTTTGTATTGTTTTTGTTTTGAATTGAGTTTTGGTCGGGCAGGAGCTGACATTATTTCTGAAAATTGAAGTTTTTGTTAGGTAAGATTCTCATTTGATGCTACGGTATTATTAACGAAAATTTTATGATGAGTACTTACTACTATCGATTTTAAGGTCTATAGGGAATTCCACACTCTTGAGAATTTTCGAGCACCCATCAAGATTGTAGTCGAACCACTTCAAATGTAAAATTAATATCACTGGTAAATCTTCTAATGTCACTTGTTTCCATGCTTCAATCTTTTGTTTTGTTTTGCTACAGGTCATGCCTTCTAAAGGATCCTTTCCAACTAGTAGATCTAAAGCAGTTTTGACCGAATCTGCTTTCTATAAATTTTAATGATATCATTTATTAGTGGTGATCATTAAATTATATTTCTTTTGAAGAGTAAATAAGGAGTAAGGTAAATATATAAAATACGAACCTCGATTTCAAGTTGCAATGTGTAGAAAGGCTGCACATAGTCTGATAATTCAGCTCCTCGAGACACCCTCGATCTTATCTGGCCTCTAAATATGTCCGAAAGCGGTGTACGACCGAAATCAGTGCTTCGCGTAATAGATCCTTTATTTTTAGGGCCCATTATTTTCCATTCGTCTGGGTCTTCGGGGTTGTCAGACGTGGCAGTGTCAGCAGTTGGCTTTGTGCATTCGGCAGGTTTTTGCTCATTGTTATCGGCTAATTTCATGAGCTCTAACATTTCGTCACCGAGGTTATTGAGTAAACAGGACAAGAATTCTTCCGCATCTTCTTGTCTGCCTTCCACTGAAAAGGACCCTGCAGTAGATGTATTTCTCATTGTACTGTAGATATACGAAGGTTCAAACGGAACACCCGACTGTATATCGGCAGCATCTTCGAGTTTTTTATGAGTTCTATCGCGTCTGCCTAAGCGAGCTCCTTCGGGCAATGGAGAGAATTCTCGAGCAAATTTGATCATATTATCTATCAAAGGACTGCGAGAATTTTTCGACACGGACTTATTGTAGGGCATAGCCATCAATAAGTTATAAAAAGGTGGACAAGCTAACAGTGCTTGCAGTATACTATTGATATAGCAATAATTGCTTCTGTTTGTCAAGCCTCGAGGTAAGAAACTTACAGTTTGCTTATTTAGTTCATAAGTTAATAAAAATTCTGAAAAAATAAAATTAATTGTTCAATATTTTTTTAGGGATTTTTAAAGAAGTTAATGAGTAGCGAATATTCTAGTTTTTAAAACTTACCACCCATCCTGTAGGAGATTGGCTCGTCATAATGTTTAGAAGATTTGTCATTTAAATTGGTCGGCGTTGAAATCGGTTTTGGTTTGTTTTCTGTCTGAACTCGTTCCGTATTTTCAGTCTGTCGTTTTGTTTGCTGTACATTTTTTCTTATCGTCTTATTTTTGTCGTTTACGTCATGTGGAATCGATGCCTTATTAACGTTAGAATTCACCAAAGGTGCCGGCTTTGAGTGAATATTTTCAGAACCTGATAATCCGTTAGGTTTCTTCACTAATTCAGCCCAAGAGAACGCTGGTTTCGGAGGTTCACTGGACGTTTTTGTTTCTACAGTAGCAGGCACTTCGTTATTTTTATCTGAAAGAGTTTTTTCAGTCTTTTGTGGCCCAGTGATTTGTACCTTCTTTTCTTCTTTGACTTGCTCCAATTTCGGTTCCACTATTACAGATGCTTCTTTGTGATCTGTTATTTTTGTGTCTGTAATTGGAGATTGCTCTTTACTCAATGCAGCTGCTGGTAAATCGCTTACTTCTTTGTTATTTTGTTCAACATATTCGACAGTTGAAGCAGTTAAAAATTTATTGTTTTTATTAATAACTAAAGTTTCATCGATAGCTTCTGATTTTGAGCAATTATCTTCCGATTTGGGAAGTGAATTTTCCGGGTTAAGAGAATTTTTCGATTCTCTGCAATTTTCGGTAAGGGGAAGATCTGCGTTCACAATTATCATCGCCGAAGAATTTTGAACGTTGCCTTGTACATTCAAGTGTACATTCGATTTTGAATCAGTTTGTGCAATTGGTTGTACATCTCGCTGTACATCTTGTTGAACGATTGGTTGCACATCACGAGTTATTTGCGGTACGTCTCGTTGTGCAACTTGTTGTAAATCTTGTTGTAGATTTAATTGCATTTCTGATTGCAAATCATGTAGCACATTGGACTGTACATCAATTGGCATTTCTGGTAACAAGTTTGATTGTTTTTGTATTTTTCTATCATAAGATTTATGATTTGTTACTTTGGCATCCCCATTCATTTGGTTAGCATTAGACTGACGATTAAATTTATGGGTTGAGGGTGGATGGTAAACTGGAGACATATATCTGTAACAAATTTTTTATTTAGTCTCTTCAATAAACATGTAGTATTATATTAGGAATATTCTAAACATAAATTTAACTTACTCAACACGATGATTTGGCTGTGTCATCGGCTGGTACATAGTTTGGGGAGGGTAAAAAACTGGGTGATTTGGTGCAGGATGAGCAACTTGTTGCTCTTGCATATACATGTATGAAGGATGTGCTGGTAGTCCCATTGCATACTGATTATGTTCATTGATGAACGCATTTTGTATATCTTGTGTATTGTGGTTCATATTGCGTGAATAATTCTTGTGTTGGCGTCCAGAACCTCGACGTCTACCGTTATTCTCCCTCATTGGTGGCATCTCTCGATGTTCACTGTATGGAATATACATACCTGGAAGTTCTTGATTATATGGGAGGTAATTTTGTGGTTCAGCCGGCATATTATTTATATGGTGCTGCCATTCAGATTGATACACTGGCATAACTTGTTGCGTGTACTGCATCATATTTGGCACAGGCATGTAAAGCGACGATTGATTTGTAGCTTGATTTTCATACTTTATAAAAGTAGGGTCGACTTCTAAAGAATAAAAAAGAAAAAAATGTAATGAGAAATTGAAAATTTTTTGAAGAGAAATCAAAAAATTAAAATAATATATATACCATATGGGTAGCATAGTTTGGGTGTTTCTTCATGTGTCTCTGGAACTGTTTGATATATCATGGGTTGTTGATATATCGGTTGCTGTTCTACTGGAACCGGCCATGGCAATTTTAGACCCTCACTGGTTTCATTATTGGGTCTTAAAAGGTCAACTAATTCATTTCTTGTGTGATTATCCAGATCACTGAAGTCCAGAAATTGAATATCTTGTAAATTCTGTAAAATGTAAATTTTGATTACAGTTTTGTTTAAATAAAATATGTTTTATTGTAGTTGAATATGTGTATGGATCTCTAATTTAGTATATAAAAAGAATACTTGATAAAAAATTTTTTTAATTAAATCACTTTAACCAGCATCAGTTTTTTCAGCAATCAAGATTATCACAAATGTAACCTCAATATTTAAACGTGTGAAAATGGATATTTTTAAGTTGTTAAGTACAAGTGCAAAGACTAGAACCCAAAGGCTAAAAATGTGTAATGATTTGAAGAATGTGAGCTAAGATAAGCAACTAAAATGATTTAAATGTCGATTGGGGATAAGCTACTATTGAAACGAACGTGAGAAAAATCTAACCTCTAAGTTTCAAAATGAAGCTTAATGAATTCAGAAAAATTTTTAATTTTTGAAATATCTATGTAATTAATATGAAGAAGCAAAAAAATTTAGAGTATTTAATCAACAAATTTGATGAAAAATCAACTACTAACAATGATAACGTAACCTATGAAACATCATGTGATACGCATACGAGCGATGGAACATGCGAATTCAGTCGAAGTCCCGAAAGGTTCATTGTAAAAAAATAAAATAAAAAGACAAATAACTGTAAAAAATAAGTGAATGTAATAATTGCTTACCTGTTGATACATTGAATCCATAGTGTCGAGGCTCTAGCTTTAATGAAAGCATGTAAGGTCGAAATTTCAGATACGCGGCGATGTCAGGATGTTTCAGACGAGTAGTTGCACTTGCAGAGCATTCACTAAATAAAACGAATTATTTTTAGAAAATAAATAAACTTTCAATTTCGGAAACACTTGATTGACTAGGCTCTCGGTCACGATCGAACTTAAAAAAACAGAAATTGTCCGATTTATGACCCGCCTGCACTGCACGAATCAGTCTTAGCGCGACCACGAGGCTCTTACACGACACACACGCACGCATACGGCAGGCAGCAGAGCCTATGGAGTTCACCACATCGCTCGTGGAGAATCCGAGCTAAGAGAGAGTAGTGCGTGTCTACACGGAGTTACGAAGGTGACTTACTACTTTGCTAAGCGAGTGCTCGCACACTGACGATGTGCCCGAGCCGCAGACCTTTCAGGCTGCTGCTGGCTTCAAGATTACTTTCACTTTTCCCCCTCTATGATACTATTTTCCTAATGATGTGCTTTTACTATAGATTAAGAACCCTCCTCTAATGGATGTAGATAGATCCAAATTTTCGACTAATTTCTATTCGACGCGCCGAGAAATTTGTGAGGTACGCGCGTTCGTCCTTTTTATTTTTACTTAAAATTCTCATTGATCGATGTCCCGAAAAAGTTGTACGAGCTTCAGTAAGTTACACTCGAAACCATGTAGGTTATATCAATGATTTTTTTTCACCTGTTACGTTAACAAATAATTGAAGTCGTAAAAGTAGATATTGTTTGTTTTAAAAAAAACTTGTACGCGACGTGTAAGGACTGTCGTATGAATCGTTGGAATTATCCTTAAAGCACGTGGTCCCTCTCGCGCGTGGTTATATTCTCTCGATTATTTTCAGATATTCAATTTTTCGCTTTGCGGTCGGTCTGTTACTGTGAGAAAACGAAGAATCCTCATTACAGATCTTCGGTAAAAAGGTGGACACACAACGTCATAGTGGTTTTTTTAACCGTCGTGCTCGATATATCTCTGCATCAAAGTAAGTTTAACGTAACGAGGAAGGCAAAGCTAACCAAGTTAACCGAGAGCCAATCGCAAATGATTCTAATGATTGAGCGTACTTACGTTCAGCTTATGGTTGCCGCACGAGAGGCAGCAGTTCATGAACGCTGGAAAATGTCTCGTTGCAGTTTTGCAGGCAAAACACATGCTATCGTGCATGCAAAAAAAAGGGATTCGAGCGACACTTCTATCCACTCACGCGGATGTCTCGTGGCACACGACGAGCCGCGGTATATAACGTTGATCGACGTCGGATGGAATTATCCCGAACTTTACTTACTGGCACGAGAAAGGGGCTACACGCGTCCACACGGCAGCTCTACGGGGCACACGAGCAGAATACAATCGAGATTATTGCATCATTTTCTTCTCGTTCCATAATGTCGCCGATGGATGGACGCCGAAAGATCGGCTTGCGCATGCCTCGGGTGAAATAGACGGTCGCACGACGACACAGACGCCACCATTGCAATGATATTTTAGAGCCCCCGCATGCGGTGAGCTTGCTCGATCGTCGGCACATAAGCAACGTGGCTCTATACGCAGCAAGCGGCATACGCAGGGACCATTTATTGTCATTGGTATGCCATTTTAAGCCGCGTCGTCCGCGCGCCGTGCTGGCCACTGTCGGAAAAGAGAGATAGTGACCAGCGCAGCTTGGGCTGTGCCGGCTCGTTTCGTTATTCGTACTGCCTGCATATGTTGGACATCTGATACTTTCGCGCGCCCGTTATGTTAGAAATTCAAACGGCTCCTGAATGAAAGTCGAATTCCATGATTTTATTAAAGTATCACTTCACGATGCTATTATAAGCTGTTTCCAATTGTACAAAATAATGTCTTTTCAGTTATACTTTCGCTTTTGATCCTAATCTGACTCACACATGAACGATTTTCCTTGGACCAATGGTCCTCACCTTCAAATGCAATTACGATCTGCTATTCGTTTAAATAAAGAGATATTTTTACCTGCTGATACAAACTTATCAAAAACAAAAAGTTAAAAAAATGTCCGATCTGAACTAATTTTCATAAATAATAGTCACCATGATCGATCTGCAATTCGTTTGAATTAAGAGATATTTTTACCTAGGACGAAAGCCGACAAATGTACTTGTATAGACCCATTGTTAAGTTAACGCGAAATTTCAAAAAATGTCACTTTGTTAAATTTGGTGATGGCTCTCTGAATTCCCTTTCATTTGTGGGCATTATTTTTACTTGCGAAATTTGCGTTATTGAAATATAAACAATTTAGATTATGAAATAAAATGTGAGTAACACATCTCACTTGCTTGATAACGTACTTCGATTATTAAAACACGAGTTTCAATAGCTATGTTTTGAATAAGACACAATTTTCGGTTTTTCAATATTTTTATAAAATGTTTAAAAAATAAGGAGGTCTCCCTCATCAATTAAAATGAAAGATTATGAAAATTACTGGGTATTTTCTAAAATGAATATTTGTCGAAAGTTATTTTTTTAAATTAATTATTCAAATAATCATTGTAAATTGTAAATAGGTGTATATTGTTTAAAATATGTGACATAAATGCATGAATGTAATTCAGAAATAATATGAGTGAAACATATCATTTAAAACCTATCTACAGAAAGATGTATATATCGATTTCTAGTTAGTATAATGAATACAAGCATACACAGTAATTACAACCGTTTCAGTGGAGATTTCTCACTGAACGTGGCCTTTCCTGATTGATAAAATGCATTAAAATTTCTCCGAAGAATTTAGACTCAATTTAGTCGAAAGAACGAGGTTTTATGAATGTAGTTTTAATTTCACAAAGAGTTGTATTATTTTCCATTGTAGGTGCTTCGATGCTATCTTCAATCCCATCGTTATAATATTAACTTGGATAAAAAATCAAAATTGTTATCTTCTGAGAGCGAGTGGTAGAATAGAAAATTCGGGATTTATCGGAAACATATGGTTGGTTGACCTCGTTTTTTGAGCATTTTCAAGTTCATCCCAACGGAATTAACCATTTCGGGCTTACAGCCAAAAAGAAAATTTCATTTTTGATAAAGTTTTTTAAAAATAATTTTTTCAGAACAAATGAATTCTCTTTTAATTTGTAAATTTTTATTATCAGTTTTTCTTAAACCTAATCAGTAAAAAGAATATTTCACATTCATTTTTAACAACATGACTCACAAATTTTTTCATTTTTTCATTTCCATCACACGTTCCTTTTGCACACACCTTGTTTATTATTAACAATTAGTAATGAAAAAATTACAAAATTATTTAAAGTGCGTTTTACAAGAAGCAAATTAATAGATGTCAGTTTTTATACAAAAAATTTTTTTCTTTCTAATGTAGACTCAAGTATAAATAATCAACATAATAATCAGATAATCCATAATTATAATTTGAACCATTTTAATTAATCTCCAAGAACACGTCCAGCTCCCCAAACATGTCCTCTATGTATATTTCCAGTATTTTGTGAAGGAGCGGCGCCAAATCCTCTAACATTACTAGTAGGAGGGAAATAATATTCTAAAATAGCTGGAGTGTTGAGTAAACTTGGACCACCAAATTCTTGTGGATACTTGAATTTCAAAAAGAAGTACAAATGACCACATAAGATTCCTATTAATTCTTCTGTAGCATCGTGATTTGTAATGAAGTTAACAGCAAGTAACACCCATGGCAAGTACATCGCTTGGAAGCGTAAACCTAAAATTATGCATACAATATAATAATAAATATCTGCTTATATATTTCTTATAATTACAATAAAAAATTAAAAATAAAAACAAACTTACCAAACCAAAATTGTACAATAACATCTTTGTTTAACTGACACCAAACGTAGATGATACTGACTATCATAGCATTCATTAACAATGGGAAATTTAATAATATAGCTGCTACAATACAGCATGCCCAATTAAATATTAATAAGTAAAAATAATCTGCTGGTCTCCCATCATATTCCTTTTTTTCTAGTCTAAGTGAGTAGTTGTAGAGGAAGTACATATTCATCATCCAATGAAAATTTAGAGGATAATAGAATAAACAAGTGAATGCTCTCCATATTTGAAAACCTTTGATGAAGGGCTCGTATATCAGAAAGAAGTTGATAACATTCATCAAACGAAACCTCCCAATTAGTGAAAATATGGTTGACAATGCCACCCAGTACTTCGTGAATACTGGGAGGCCCTCAAACCACTCAAATACAGTCGGCATTTTGACTAATTATCATAAAATCACTACACAATTACTACTATTTCACTTATTTATTTACCAAGCTTGAAGATTTTAAGCTCACGCTTAATTATTCTTCAAACAAGTTTGTTTGTTGTGATCAGCTGAACAGAACTTAATGCCAATACATCTAAATCTCTGCACGACGGTATTCTTTATGTAAATGAAGTGATGCGTGACGTCTGCAAAATTTTATCAAAAAGTGCAGCTAAAGAAGACGTGTGCATGCCGTGCACTATTTGAAATGACTTACAACAATCTCTGTTTTGGTTATAGTTTTAACTCGGTGCCTTTGTAAGATTGACGTGGCCCTCGCAAGTCGCAGAACTAAACCAAACTCTATGCGTTGCTATTTGAGACTATTTGCTTCGTGATGTTGTGGAAAGACCTTAAAATTTTAAGAAAGCTCATCAGAAATACTTTCGAAGAAATTTTTGTCGAAATTAGTTTTTGAAAGCTCGAAATGATTTAAAAAGTGCGAACTTCGCTTGATTTTAAGTAGTGCTCGGATACATAGATGGTTACAAAAATTTAACAACAATTTTTAATTCAAAAGCTGCTCGTGCACGCACTGGTGGCGCAAGCTATCGTGTAAGCTAAGCAGACCCTATTTTGCAAATTGAGATTGCTGTCAGCAGACACACAGAGCTTTCAATGTAAAACAATGATAAGTGACTGTTATCGTCGCTAAAAGCAGGCGAATATGAGCGGACGCATAGGTAAAGTCCTATATCTGTAATATTGCTACGTGTCACAGAGCTTTATCGCAATTCTGTGCGTTTTTTTCCGTTCCTATTGCTGAATGAACGTTGTTGCGGTGAGATGATTTAGTTTTTTTACGAATCGCAGTGCGTCCAGATTCGCTGGACATGTTTTTAACATCTGTACCCGACGAAGTAGAGATCTTGTGTTAGTAATCAAAGCCCTGATCGAGAAAATTCTTGCGTAAGCTTTCATCAATAATTCGAAAAAATATACTTTAGGAAATACAAATACTAAATTCAAATTAATTTTACAGGGTGAGGCTGCTTTAACAACAATACTGCAACAAAATGGAATACGACGAAGATTTCCTTTTCGAAGAAGATAAAATGTTTGTTTCTATCCAGTAGTAACAATTAATGTATCTTTGCCTTTTTCTGCCGAATTTTCAGTTTTTATGTGTGCCTTTTATTTTTGCACTCTTCACGCATCATTCGTTGTCACTTACGTGTTGGATCAGTTTGACGTTTGATGAGATCTCATTGATGAAGAGTCCATGCAATAAACAGCAGGACATCAACGAAATTGATATAATTGATATAACAGATGCAGAAAGCACTATGCCTTTGGCAGGCACTGATATGTTTCATTCGTCAATGATTGAAGATCGCATGTATGCATTATTTTTCAGTTTTTTAAACAATTTAAGCGCAAAATTTTTCTCTTTGGCCTTTTTCATCTTTATTTATTTAATGGCTGCTCTGGAATTATTAGACCAGACATTGATCTTGTTGCACAAGATGAGTCGCCTTTTTTCTTTCAACAAGATCAGATGTAAGTTTTACTTTCTTATGTGCTTTGTAAATACGCCACTAACAACTCTTTTCAAACATATTTATTTTGTCTCATATTAAACATAGATAAAATTTTTTATGGTAATTGAGACTAAATTTATGTGTTTAAATGCATTAATCAAAAATATTACTGATTGTTAAGTAATAAATTCATAATATTTTTTTTTAATATAACAATTTAATTTAATTAACAGAGTCTTAGCTAAAACTGGTGAAGGTATATAATCTAGATAATATACTTATAATTAGTATAAAATTCCTAGTTATTGCAAACCTTTATAAAATCATAATCTTGTAGTATACTTATGAATTTTAATTTTTTATGAAAATTTCAAAATATAACAATTTTTTGAACAGGGGTATGGCCATTACATCTGGAAATGTGGTCATCGACAAGGATAATAGTAACTTGATAGGCATCAGTATTGGGGGTGGATTCCCTTTCTGTCCTTGTCTCTATATTGTTCAAGTTTTTGACAATACTCCAGCTGCACTAGATGGTACTTTAGAAGCTGGAGATGAACTTGTTGCAGTAAATGGTGAATGTTTAAAAAGAAAAACAAAGGTTGAAGTAGCAAAGATGATTCAAGCTTGTGGACCTAAAGTCAGCATAATATATAACAAACTTCATGCTGATGTTCAACAAGGGCGTTCCTTAGATATTATTCTCAAAAAAGTAATATATATTTTTAAAAAATTTAACTTTTCATTTTGAGAATTATTAATTATTACCAATTATAATAATAAAATTTTACAGGTAAAGCATAGATTAGTAGAAAGTATGGGTAATACAACTGCTGATGCTTTGGGTTTGTCAAGAGCTATTTTGAGAAATGACACTCTTGTTCAGAGGCTGGCAGCCCTTGAAAAGACTGAAAATTTATATAAAGGGCTTGTTGCACATGCTAAATCAGTTTTACATGCCTTTTTTGATCTATTTCAAATTTACAAAAGTAAGACATAATTTTTATTTTTTATTATTCACTTTTCATACTGAAAAACTATTCGATTTTTAATCAAAATATAATTATAAATTTTTTATTTACGTGTTTAGTATATGGAGATGCATTTGCCTCAATGGGTGTAAAAGAACCTCAACACAGAGCAAGTGAAGCTTTTACTAAATTTGGGGAACAACACAGACAGATGGAAAAAATTGGAATTGACATGTTGAAAACCATTAAACCAATTTTGAGTGACCTTGGAACTTATCTCAATAAAGCTATTCCAGATACTCGTATGACCATAAGTAGATATGCTGATGCAAAATTTGAGTACTTATCCTATTGTTTAAAAGTAAAAGAAATGGATGATGAAGAACAAAGCTACGAATCCATTCAAGAACCTTTGTACAGAGTAGAAACAGGAAATTATGAATATAGATTAATTTTGAGATGCAGGCAAAATGCTAGATTAAAATTTGCTAAATTAAGATCAGATGTTCTAGTAAAATTAGAGTTACTGGATAACAAACATATTGAAGATGTTGTTGTACAGTTACAAAAATTTGCTACTGGACTAGGAGATTATTACAACAATTTATCAAAACTTGTTTCAGAAAGTATATTCTTTCCAGTTGAAATTGATTTAGCTCAGACTACTTTTCTGTACAAACGACCAGGAGAAGTAACAGCTTATGAAGATGAAGAAGAGACAGAGGAAGCTAGAGGCTTTGACCCAAGTAAAATATTGGACTTTGATGTAGCTGAAGAAGCAACACCTTCAAATACCAATCCTGAAAATTTTACAACAGATCCAAATAAAAAATCAAGTGGAGTATCAGATTTGAGTGATTTATTAGATTTAAGTGGATTTTCAGATATGAATGAAAAATTTGAGCAGTTATTACAAATTGAAGATCAAAAGAAATCAGACTCCGAGCCATTAATATCAATGGAATCTGAAAAAGTCAAAGCTTCCAAAGATGAAAATGATTTATTTCAACCATTATTAAGTTTAAATGATAAACAGAATAATTCTTTATTCCTCAATAAGAATAATAATGCTGAGTTGAATTCCCCAGGTGATCAAAAAAATACACTTGATTCATTGATGTTTATGGACTCTCAACGCGAAGAGTCTCTCATTAAAATAGAAACTAATTAAATATTCATCTATAATGGCTTTTATAAATGTGAACTTTTTCATAGAATTTGATATAACTTCTTGTAAATTACATAAAAGTTGTTCGACGTCAACAGCCACCATACATTCCAAAGATTTATGTAAATAAATAAACAAATAAATATATTTATTAATCATGAAAACTGCCGCAGCGTTTCTCATTTATGATCGCATTCGCCTCTGCTCATGCGGAAAAATTTAAATGTCATATCACGTGATCGAAATATGCATCGTGCGGTGCAGCAGACAGCGCGATCTTAGCAACGAACGATGATTGACGACGGATGACAAAATTGCGAATAACAAAGCAAATAATTTCCCGCGCGTACAAGCTGGCAGTCCGCTGAGCTTTTATCAGCATACGATCATGCATGTGAATATAAATATTCGAGGATGACGGGCACGAGCAATTTCGGCTAGTGCGCGAGACGCAGTTCTCATTCATCTCTTCATGAATGTCAGTTTTTTTTTTTTTGGAGGGAAGAAAAATTCGTCGCGCATAACAAGGAAATAGGAAGGAATAATGTTTTGAGGGGCACAAATCCAACATTGCAACTTCTTGCTCGTGGCAAATGAGATATTTCAAAAGCGTGCGGCTCGCTCACTCGCAGTATCGTTTTTACCCACTGAAAATTCGTCAAGGATATGGGAAATTCGCAAGGTTCGTATGTGTAAAAATCCCAAATTCGAATTGTATGTATAATCGCGTGAATTAGCGGCCAAACGTTGATTGTACTTGGAACTTTAAAAAAACTGGAGCAACCTCGCGGGCGGTTGTTTACTATCTTCCAAACAATTGCGTGAAACCAAAAAAAAAACAAAAAAGAGAAAAAAAGTAACCTCCGCGCGCATGATTCAGCCCGCGACTATATAATAACAAAATTGACATACAATGTCGTCGTCGCGCGTGATAACACTTTGCACTCCGCGATTATACGATATACGCGTGCATTTAAAAATTCGGCACGGAAGATGCATATATGTAAATTGTAAAACGACAACACAGCATGTGCATATATATCGCGGTTACAGACGCGCGCATGCACATTGCGAATTGCAGTATATAGGCAACAGTCCCAGATACATAGCGAATCTGCTGCTGCTCTCCCACCTCTTTTCCTTTTGAGGCAAATTCGCGGTCTGCGAGAGTCCGCGCAAAGAAGAGGAAGCATCCGCGGCGCTGGATATATATACTGCGTCTCTCTCGACACTACGCGGCAATAAAAAAGTAATCTAGCTGTCGACTTGTGCTGCTCGTCGACTGTACTGTCTCCCACGCGTCAAGTTCCTTCGATCGCATATCATTCTAGATATATAAGCCACGCAGAGCAGCAGCGTCTGCAACTTTCAATATTATACGTATTTTGTGCCGTTCGTGTGCTTTTCGTAGGAAAAAAGGACAAATTTAGCATGGCGAGTCCCGTGGTTATAGCTGCCACAGCCAGGCACACGGCAACGGTGAGTTTATAACATTTTATAACATTTTCCTAGGCAGCTGCGATATTCTTTTTTATATATCCGATACATTTTATTCGACCACTTGTGCACGTTTTCATCCTCTTATTTATTTTTTTCTAATCCAAGGACCTGCACTTGATCTTGTGTACCTCTTCTTTACAGTGAATTGTATCGAGGCCGTTTTGTTTCGAGGGTAGATGTGCTTTTTTTATATAATATATAAGATCATTAATGAGATCTCACTTGCTTCACGACTTTGCTAATGTCTATATAGATATACGAAACTCTTAACTTATGCTTTACTTCATTTGGAGAACTTACTTTCTTACTGCATATCTTAAAACTATTACATGCACATCGTTTCCTCCAAGAATTTTTTTTTCCCTCGTCTAGCAATAAATCTGCTTGTTACTATGCTTACTGATTAATCGCCTTAAAATCAGCGTTGCATTTGCATAAAATAGTGTATTGATTAATTTCCTGCTTTACTGTTATTTGGTCTATTGATTGTGAAATGAACTTAACTTCATGCACATTGCATACTTTGCATAATATATTCATATGTATGCTAACAGCGTGTGTAGTTTTTCCTGTTAATTTTTTTCCTTACTTACACTTTGAAAAATTATTTAATACTTTATGTAAATATTTGTCAATTAACATTTCTTCAAAATTTTCTATTTTGAGTAAAAAATGAATTTACATTAGTGTTATTCAGTGTGAATCAGCAATTCCATTTCTTTAATTAGTTTTTTTCTTCAAAATCCCATGAAAAAAACTTGAAGTGCAATGGAACTGAGAATGCACTTGTATGGAAAACTTTTTAACAATACTTTTATTGTCTTTCAGCTCATCTTTTTTCATGGCTTAGGCGATACTGGGTAAGTATTGACATTTTTTCCTATTTTATAAATTAGTCTATTATGAATTATCAATATTTTCTGATTTTATTTAGACATGGCTGGGCCAGTTCACTTGGAGCTCTTCGGGCACCCCATGTTAAAGTTATTTGTCCAACTGCGTATGTATGGTTACTTAATAATATTTTAATAATTATGAAATATTTTACTAATATCAAAATAATATATTTTAGTCCTACCATGCCTGTCACATTGAATGGAGGATTCAGGATGCCATCTTGGTTTGATTTGAGAGCATTAGATGCATCTGGACCAGAAGATGAAGAAGGCATTAAGAAAGCTGCTGAATCTGTACATTCCATGATTGCACAAGAAGTAGCTGCCGGTATACCTACAGAAAGAATTGTTCTTGGTGGTTTCAGTCAAGGTGGAGCATTAGCTCTGTATAGTGCTCTCACATTTCCTCAACAATTAGGAGGAGTAGTAGCTTTATCAACTTGGTTACCGCTCCATCAGAAGTTTCCTAATGTAATAATATCACTAACTTAGTCCTAAGGTTTAATCAAATGGGTTTGAGACTAAAATACTGTGTTCATATTGTAGGAAGTTAAAGGCAATAAGAACATGCCTGTAATGCAATGCCATGGGAATTGTGATCCTGTTGTTAATTATAAATGGGGACAAGCAACTGCTACTCTTCTAAAACAATTCATGACTCATACTGAGTTTAAAACATATCAAGGATTGGGTCATTCATCAAATGACGAGGTAATAAAAATTATTTTACTATTTTTAACTTTGAAATAATGAACTTTACTAATTTAATTACTTTATTGCTTTATTTTAGGAATTGCAAGATGTCAAAGATTTTGTTGACAAAGTGTTGAAGCCTTAATATATCAAAAGTGAACTATATCAATCAACTATTATTTTACCGACCTGCAATTTTTAATCTCGAAGTTCTGAGCAAATGATTCCAGTTCTATTCTAATATAATTTTAGCGAAATAACTAGTTATTTAAAATAAAACTGTTTCTTCGTTTCATGAAGACGCGATCGTAGAAATGAGTCGAAAAATTTGCCCTCAAAGAGTAAACTATCAACTTTCTACTCTAAACTACGAATTTCCATTATACTACAATTGTACATGAAGACAAAGTATACCTAACGATTGCTAGTGAATATCAATAGATAAAAGTAAATTTATTTCTAGAAAAAAATTGTACTGTAATATTTTGTAATGGCAAAATATTTTTGCATTTCACGATTACGAATAATAAGCTATTCTAAAACTCTAAAAGTTTTAATTATTGAGTTCAAAAATGTAGGAATAAGTCAATCAATTTGATGATATTGTAATTAATATTTTATTATTGCGGTTTCCTCGTTACATCCATACAAGACAATAATATTATACACATTTTACTTAATGTTCCTATAAGTCAGTTTTGATGAAAAAATATGAGGGGAAAAAACGTAATACAATGAATTTTAGTCTGCGTCATCATACACGTGTAAAAAGCTCGAGACAGTTGCGCTTGTGCGTGCAAGGTAGGACTAGGATCATACATAGTCGTTGATATAAAATTTATTTTGTATCATAAGCTCGACTATACTGGGGTTTTTTTAAAATCGTTTTTGAAAATCGTTTCTACCGAAAAAATAATTTATCGCTTCCATTGCTTTTCGAAATTTTTCACTACAAACTTTCGTTTCTCATCACATTATTGTACTAGCTTTTGGTAATAAATTCTTTATTATTTCCTCACCTTAAAATTGACCCTGACTTTACAGTTTTATTTCATCTATTTGTACAAAAAATAATTAGCGAGGTGTATGCATATTGTCATCTATATATGTCGTACAAAAATCGTTCATCGTTCGAATGAGTCCAGTCCTTCCTTCATTATGGTATATAATATATCAGTAAGGCGCTGTTAAGTACTATTAATTCCCTGTATGCAGGGTGGGACACTAAAGCTAAGGGTTACAATATAATTGCCTGAATTATTGTTTTTAATTAGATCGACTATAACGGGGGTAATATTTTGTAAAACATTCGGCGTTTCGTACGAATTTGGACACATAATTTTGAAAAAACGAAGAAAATAATTACCATAAAATTCGTCGGAAACGCTTTTAAGGCGATCGATTTCAAATACATATGAATAATCTACAGTTTTGGCACTTGAAAAATCATTACATTACATAATTCGAGTATATTTTGATCGACAAAAGTCGGAGCAGCCACACGTGCTCGCGCGCATACACGAATTATACAGCGACCTCCATATTAGCGACGGTATTTGTTTTAATTAGTCAAATTATCTATAATATATAAACTGCACCGAGTGATCTCATCGACGCGACAATTAATCAAGTCCCTCGAGCGCTAATTAATACAAAATGAAGAGAGAAAAAAAATGTACACATCTATTAATTGCAATTGTATATCATTGTCGACGTTTCGATATATATACGTATGTGTTATTATAATTATATATGATATGCGACGCGCCGTATTAAAGTGTACAATGTATTTTAATATTTTGCGCGCGTGTCGGTGAAAAAAAATCTCGATATAAATACAGTAAATTGACGGGTTCGGATTACAAAGTATCGTTGCATCGTGTGCTATGTTATATTATGTACAGTTGATTACGGCTCGATCGCCTTGCGAGTTTGATTAAAAACGAAAATCGCTCCAAGTTTACAATTTTATAAAAGTATATATTATATGTATACGACTGCCTCTCGTTTCTTCTTGTGCTCGAGAAAAGGCAGTAAATGGCAATGCATCGTTGCTTGAGGGGATTGATGTACATTCGAAGCGATTGTACAGCAGCTCAGACGAGTCCGAAGTCGGTGTGGACGGTGCGATCGCAGTTGTTGGGTTTGTCGTTGCCGGCGGCCATGTTGACCTCGACGAGGGTGTCGACGCTATTTAGCGGGCAGCCCTTGAGAATTTTCTGCGCTGCGAGGCTGGTGAACTGCAGCTGCATGTCGCTGAGACTAGGATACGAGTAGAGGTCGGGCCGGCTCTGGGTCTTGTCGAGGTTCGGCTCCGAGCCCTGGGGCTTCTTGATCTTGTTCGACTGGCCGTCAAGCTTCTCGATGTAGACGTTGTTGAACGAGCCGCCGAATCCGTCGTAGGACTTGGTCGGCGAGGGCGGATTCGACGAGACGTTGTTCTTGAGCAGATTGCGGTAGCTCAGCGCGTCCTTGGACAGCGAGAGGCTGAGCTTGCGCGAGTTGTTCATCGCGTCGTTGCTCTCCTTGCAGTTGGTGTCAATCAGATGGGCTTGGCTGTTGTTCAGCCGATTGTTGGTCAGCTTGAGCTTGCTCGTCACGATCTCGTGGTCCAGAAGATCGCCCTTGCTGCTGGGTTTGTTCTCCTTGTCGGCGCTGTAGAGCGACGAGGGCCTCTCGGCTTTGATATCCGTCTTGAAGCCTTTCTCGCCGAGCAGCTCCTTCTCGAGCTTCTGCGGCTTGTCCTCTTGTTTTGCCTTTTGCGGTTGCTGCTGCTGCTGCGGCTGCTGTTTGGCAGTGCCGTTCTCCATCACTCCGACCTGCGAGACGGTGGCTTTGGTCGGACTGCCGTTCTCGAAGGTAATGACGGATCTCATCGGGGAGCTGTTCTGATGCACGTAAATCTTTGTGCCCGGAGTGCCGGAGATGGTTGTTCCATTGGAGGCGCTCGAGGCCAGGGTGACGCTACTCTGGACGCTGGGCAGGTTGCGCTCCTGCGTGGACGGGCTCAGGTTCGTCGAGACTTGCAGAGTGATGGAGTTCTGGGCAGACTCCTGAAGCGGGCTCATGGCCAAAATCTGTTTGAGCGGCGAGTTGCTGCTGGTCGTCGTCGTCGTCGTGGTCGTCGTTGTGGTCTTGAGCGGCGACGAGGACATTCGACTGCTCGTCGTCGATTTGTTGCTCGAATGACTCGAATGATTCGACAGAGATTTCGGTAGAGTCTGCAATGAAAAATCGAACGCGGTTAGATAACACGAGTTGTTCGAACAATAGAATGACTTACCTTGTGTTGGGGCGAGGCACTGGCTGACTTAGGCGAGGAGGAGCTCAGGGTCGAGGAGTCGTGGCTGGGCCGCCTGGACGAGTGCCTCGACGATTGCTGCTGCTGCTGCTGCTGCAGTCTGGCAAGATGACCGTTGCTGGTCTTGGCCGGGCTGGGTGTGCCGCTGTTGCCGTTGGCACCGCCAACGCCGTTGCTGCTGCCGTTATTTCTCAGCGAGGTCGTGCTGCTGCTTCCGCCGCTTCGGCTGGGCGACGAGTTGGCCGAGGTCTTGGCGGACGCGGCGGCCGCCGCAGCAGCTGCCGCGGCACTGGAGGGCGGCAGAACCGAGCCTCGCGAGGTGCACCTGCTGAGGCTGGAGCACTTGGAGCGCGGCAGGGTCGAGCAGGGCGATCGATGCCTGCGAGAGCTGCGCGGCGTGGAGTTGGCCAGCAGCGAGGACGAGTCCGCGGACGGCTGGCGCCGGTGTCTGCGGGGCAGGGTAGCCGAGCGCATCGAGCTCGAGTCGTCCCACACCTGGAAGCTCGCCTGCGACTGCTCGAGACCGTCCATCATCTGAGAGACAAGATCGAGACAAGACAATGGTCGTTAAGATTATGATACATGAGAAAATCGATGTTTCTTTATTTCACTAATAACGTATTTATGAGTCATTGACGGATGCTCTTTGGGTGTGGTACGGGATTATTTTATTATAGGTATGGGGTAATCCTGCTTACCGATGGACTGGCAGCTCTCGTCTGGGTGGCAACGCTGTGCAGATGGACGACTCGAGGATTGAACCACTCGGTCGGCGGATACTGGGCGCTGAACGTGCCCATGAGGGGAGTTCCTCCCGCGGCGCCACCGCCGGCTTTTCTGCGAGTGCTGCGTCGGAAGAGCCTCGACAGCAGGCCGATCTTTTCTGTAATCATACCGGACAAGCCTTGATTATTCACGAGAGCCTCGTATCGCTCGTTCGTAGGCAGTGGCGAAACCTAACGATGGTGTTGTCGATGACGAGGGAGAAGGGAGTTGTATATGCATTTTGCTTTGTTATAATATGATCGACATGTTAGTACGATGATGGTGCGTGTATGAGAGATGAATCGAGTGACATCTTTTTTTTCATAATGATATTATTGTAAGAATCACAGCCTTCTCCCTCGCCGATCGCTACTTACTGGTTGGCGAGTGGGGCGCGCTGTCCGTGCTGGCGTACTCGGCGCTCGAGGAGGTATCGCTGCGATCGGGCCGCCTCGGCAGCGACCTCGAGCTGCCGCTGCGGTGTAGTCGCCTCGCCGAGCCCCACAGCCGGAGCGAGTGTCTGCGTTCTAAACGGCTCGGTACCGATCGGCACCGAGCGAATAGCACCTTGTCGTTTGGGTTACCTGCGTCAATGAAACATTTAAGTAAAAAAAACTCTTATAACTCCAATTATGCAAAAGCGCATAAATTGCTTTTGTGCGAGTACCCGATTTTTCTCGAATCGTTCGGTTCTAGTTGAGTCAGGAAAATTAGAGTACCCGAATGTTCTTGAGTACTCGAGCTTTTTTTGAGTATTTGAACTTCGTATTATTATTTTCGTAACAGTGTGCTATATTTTTGATGTTTGAATAGATAAATTTGATCTCAATAAGGTGTCGTGGTAATGGTGGAACCGTTAATATATAAATCGAAACTCATGTTTTAAATGTTAATGAGTTTTATAATAAAATAAAACAGACGTTAAAAATATGCTTATCGCCATCGCGAGCTTTGACCTTATTCGTACTAAGCTATTGGAGATTAGAAAACGTAAATCCAGCGTAGTGAAGGCCCCGTGTGGGTATAATATACGCGCTAATAATACAATCACACACGACTAGGCATAGACATCGCCTCCATACCCGTGGCATTGATATAAAAGCCGGAAATCAACTTACCACCGCAAATGACGTCAGCTAGATTCGTCTGTACGGCCTGGTGGGTGACGTCGCCGTCCCTGAGGGTCAGCATCTCGCCGTGCACGAGGGCCATGGCCTCGTCGTTGCTCATGAGCATGCCCGCCTGGGCGCGTCCCTCGCGCGACGACACCACGTCCCGCTCGTTCCTGCGCCTCTGGCTGGACTCGCGCCGCAGCCGCCTCGTCTCGGGCGTCACCACGAAGTAGCCCTGGGCCGTGTGATAGATCTTGCGCTCCTGCATGAGCTTGGCCAGGGCGTCGTAGACGAGATCGCGGCCGGGTCGCTGCATGGCCGGAAAGGCGTTCTTCAGGGCCGAGCGCAGTGTGTCGAGGGTCGCGGCCTGTCGCTGCGACGTCAGCTCCAGAATGGCCCAGCAGAGCGCCTCGGGTAGCGGCGTGAACTGGCCCTGCACCACCGGCGAGATCAGGCAGTCGTCGATGTCACCTGCGAATAATTACACGAGTTTTCTATTAAAGCTAATTATTGATATACGTGCGAAACGGCGTATGATAAGAGACCCAAGCAAGTATGAGGGTGTATGCTTAAATTTAAATTCTCAACCCGTGTTACCCTCGCGCGCGCGCGCCTGGGGTATAGAAATACCATAGATTAAGATCAATATGTTGTACGGAATGGACGGCATAAATTCCACCTCGCACAGTACCATATCATACAGTTCTCACTTGGCAGTCTTATACGACTTTCTTTCTTATATCATAAACCACATCTGCCTCTGCGTTATATAAAGCCCATATATAACATGAATTTTGGGCTCGCGCGTCGGGGGAAGCAGCTCCGGAGCTACTGCTATAGCGGCGAAACACGATTGTGCGCGATCGCGTGGAATATAATACGATATGCATGAGCGATCTCGGCTTTCATGGAATTTTTGCGCTTAATTCAGTACACACATAGTGTGCAGTGCGTCTCTTCCAGTATTCCTGAGAATTTAGTCTCGCGAAAAAATAAGCACACACCGTCGTACAAAATATCGTCGCGGAATTGATTGGCTACGTGCGCGCACAAAAAAAAAGAGAGAGAAAAAGAACGGTCTATATAATGAGCCTGTTCGTGTGTATATGCGCCTGCAGCAGACATGACTAGGAATAAATTAATCTCGTTACGTGCTTGCAGAAGCAAGGGACGACAGAGACGAAGACAGAGAGAAAAAAGGTGGCGCGGTGTAGCTATTCCACGCGCCACTGACGTGTATCTCTTCTACCAAGGGAGTTTATACATATAACAATGTGTATAATACGATAGGCACGCGGAGAGAGATGGAGCTCGTTCGGGAAAAAGGGCAAGTGACTCGATCATCGTGCAATATAAGCAGCAGATGCGCTCGATATACAAACGTACGTATGCAATTGCTTATATACATACATCAATCCACGTCTCGGACAAGGTCCGCAAAAGCAAACTTTTTTTTCTCTCTTCATCTCTCCACGAATTCAAGAATTTGCCTCTTATTTTCCTTTACTTTTCTCCATCCTCGTGTTCGCGTCTAGTACAGCGTATCGCTTTGATACAGATCTCGACTGCCGCTCCCGTTGACAGACGCACGACGCCAGGAGGAGAGACGCGTCGTCGCATCTAGAAATACGAATTTCGTCCACACGAATATAACAGCTAGAGAAATTCAAATATCGCGAATTTGTGCTACTGCTGCTGCTGCTGCTGCTGCTGCTGCTGTGAGCTGCTGTGTTACGGGCCCCAGCTCACGAAAGGGAAAATAACTTGCCCTCGACCCTTCGTTTGCTACAGCAGTCGCGCGCACACACACACACACACACAACACACCCGCTACTTTTCTCGAGTCCAGCCCCTTTTGTGTCCCGTGCATTTAATCAGCGCGCGAGACCTAGAATCTCTCATGCGTTTTGTGTAATGTGTGTGTTGTGCAAAGGCCACCCTCGCTTTTCCTATATATATACTGCTCCATGCATAACACACAGTTTGGCACAGAGTTAGGCTGCGATTATTATAACACGTTATAAGCGAAACGCACATAGTCGGTGCTGCGTAGCGCTGCGGCACGTATACACGTGTAGACGTCCGTGAAATGGACATTCGGTGTCTACCGCGACGATGTATGCTGCAAAACGTCCAATTGCTGCTGCTGCATTATAAAAGCGCGATTGACGCGCGTGTTACGACGTATTACAAGCTGTTGGATATGTGTATAATATAAAACGTCGAGAGGTTGTCTCGCGTCGCTCGAGCTCGCGGGCTGCCGCGCGTACACAGCGACAAACCAGTCCTCGCGCGAGTCCTCTACACTATAGGCATGTAACGCGATAAATATTTTCTTCATAGAGCTCGCGAGCCACCTATTTCCTACGCAGTCCCTCGTATTTTAGCACGCCGGCAATGGTGCAGTCAGCACATAATACCGTGGCAAAAGAACACGAAAGCAGCAGCAGCAGCAGCATCTAACGCTATATACTTTCCGCATTATTTATTCGTTTTTTTTCTCTCGCTCTCTGGTCTTCTTGTTTTTGTTGTAGTACGTTAATTCTTTTTTCAGTTTCATGCTCTCTCTCTCTCTCTCTCTCTCTCTTACTCGAGCTTATATCAAGTTGGATTATCGAGAGAGCTACAAAGGCTTAAGTGATATATAGGATATCAGGCAAAGTTCCGTAATACCGCGAGCGTATAATAATATATATAAGTGGACCGAGAGCGATCGCAAAGCGGCTGAGCCGAGAGAAATCGACGTCTTTGCTGCTGTTGCTGTTGCAGTCAAAGAACTTTGAAGATTCTACGCAGAGACGCAGTGTTGCGCTGCACATATTTTCACTGGCGTACCCAACGACGACGACGATTGATTTCGAGAGCTGCAAAATTTAGCATGTCAAGAGTATGTAATTGAGCCGATAGAAAGTGTCGTCTCAATGAGCGTAAAAGCTTATTCTTTTCCACGCGCGCGAGCTTTCCGGCAATGACACCCCGTTTATATTTATACATCTAAACTTTCGCGCGCGCGCGCGCATCGATATAATGCGCGGCATATCGAATCGCGTATCAAATCCTATTACCAATATATCTCTCTGTCTCTCTGTTTTTTCACCCGCGCGCATACACGCATTATACGACAGACGGAGAAAATTCCATTTGCAAATCGAAGCTCGCGACCTTATGTGTGCAGGTGGCCAGGTATATTTACGTAAGTAAATTGTGCAGCAAACGATATCTTTACGAGTCGGCTGCTGTTGGACATTTTTCAGCCAACGAGCCATCCGGGAATGGAAAATCCGAGGGAAAATTGAGACGCAACGCGAGAAGCTCTTATGTGCTCGGCCGACTGTTATACCGGCGCGAAAGTATATAAGCACATATCTCGCTAAAATGTGTGTCTTATAATGCGTTGTCACTGCGTTGCTGCATAAGCCACTCGTTATCATCTTTTCTCGTACTGGTCGTCGTCGACGTCGTCGTTGGGTCGTCTCGTGTCTACTGGTTTCTGACGTTAATTACTCTCCTCGTCAGCTTTAACTATTTCTCTTTTGCTTTTTTTTTGCAATTTTTTTTATCTCGTTGCTAGGCAATATAAACGTTCCTCGCAGTTATTCAATTTAGAGTAAGCTGCAATTTTGTCAACCCTGGCAATTCACTATATATACAGGCACGTCTATGTAATCAATTATCGAATGTACAGAGGTTGATTCGTTCTCGCTCAGCTGTCTCTGCTGCAGTGAACGATTTCTCGTGTGTCCTGCAGGACACATGCATCGATTATTAAGCGCGGCGCTCGGCACGGTAGCTCCCCGTTTTAACGCACTCGACGCTTTTTGATTTATGAGAATCGTATATAGACGGTATGGAGTAAAAAAAGAGAGAGAAAGAAAAAACGAAACGTAAACGGCCGTAATTTTTATCGGCTGTTTACTTAGCAACTGTGTGTGTCGCGCATTAAGCCATACGGTTAACTAATTGTCTCGGATTTATTTATTTATAAATATATGGCCTCACGTTTTCTCCAATTGGCATTATAAGGCGCGCATAAAAATAACTTTAAATAGCTCCGCTGCAGCATAATAATATATGCGCCGCGAGAGTTGCGAGTTTATAACGACGCAACTGCAGCAGCCTGTGTATATCCCAAGCAACCAACACAACCAGTCCCTCACTCTCTCTCCCTCCCAAGAGAGTATTATAAAAGTGACGCAACTCTTATATTTATAAAGAGTCGTGTCTAATTAAGACTCAAGTGTCTCAAACTCGGCATCTAATCGATAAATCGCAAAAATCTCGACAAGGCGCGTGTGTAAGTACAACGTATACGATCTTACATCAGCTCTCGGCGAGCGAGAATGCAAACGACGACGTCGACGACGACGAATACGACTACGACTACGACGAGGAGTTTGCGAAGAACAAAAAAAAGGGCAAGAGCTCGCTCGCGACTTACGTAAGGGATCAGCTCTTCACACCTTTATTTGTATGCATGCACATGTGTGTGTGTGCTGCAGTACACACTATACGTAGGATATTTTTATTGGTCTGTACTATCGAGTAGTCAGCTACATAAAGCCGTCGCCTGAGGAAAACGACTTTTCGCTCGACCAACGGCAACCACAACAACAACAACAACGGCACCAGCAGCAACGATCGAGTAACAACAAGCGACAGAGGAGAGTCGACAACCTACGTATAAACTCACAGCAGGTAGGAGAAAGAGAGAGAGAGAGAGAGAGAGCCAGAGCTAGCTTATAGCTGCCACTGCAGCGATTCGCCCACGCTAATTCGTGGCTCGTTTTGCCTTTTCGTAAGCGCGCGGCTAGCTAGCTGCGAGTCTGCACTCGGCTGCCTTGGGCTCCGCCGCTGCTGCATGCACACACGCGGCGGACACGCACACGTGGGATTATATATGCACACACGGCAAATATATAGACTGGACGAAAAATGGACCGTTGCTCAATGCTGCTTACGTTCGCGTAATCCTTATCCTACGGTGCCCTAATAAAACCCCTTCGCTCATAGAGCTCGAGACTCCGGTATATTGACTCATTGTGTCTGCCCGCCTGAGTCTCGAGGTTTTATATGTGGATCGAACGAGATAATACTGTCAAAGGATAATAATTGCTCAATAAACGTCTCTCTCTAACTCTCCTTCGGTCTATGCACGCGCGCCCGCTTAACCGGCGACTCGTGGCGGCGGCGGTGGAGGCGAGCAATGCGGAAGGTGTGGCATCGCGAGTGCGCCGCGCGGCACTCGCCCTGCAATATATTACAGGGTTTACCGCACGTCTCGCTTATTTAAAAATAATACGTGCGCCGTACAGAGTCGAGCGATCGAAAAACGGCAATTCGCAGCGGAATTGGAGGAGCATTGCAAAATATCGCCATCACCCCGAAATTGTACCTTTATGTATACGAATTACTGCGGTTGCAAAATTCACGTCTTGTACAGGTATATGATTTTTATTTTCGAGAGTACGTAT